GGCGCGGGGGCAGAGCGCGCAGCGGTAGGGCCGCTCGCCCGTGTGCAGGCTGTAGTGCGCGCGCAGGCTGGCGGGGCCCGCGCAGCTGTGACCGCACACGTGGCACCGGCTGGGATCCCCGCCGTGCCCGCCGCCCTCGGCCCCCGCCAGGTGGCCGTGTTCGTGGAACAGCAGCTCGGACACCAGCCGGAAGGCGGCGGGGCACAAGGCACAGTGGAAGGAGCCCGGCTCGGGGGGCTCCGGGACCAGCGTGGTGTCTGTGACCTTCACCACCTGGATCTCGATGAGGTCGCTCGGGGGCGTGGCGGCGCGGCCGTCGTCAGGCACCAGGACCTGGGCAGCGAGGAGAGGAGAGGAGTCTGTGGCCCGGCCTCGAGAGGCGAGATGCCGGCTCTCTGCGGCCTCCTGCGGGATGCTGCGATGTCCCGGTCGGCGTCCTCCCTCCCTTCCAAAACGCATCGTGGACCCACCTTTTCTCGCCCCCACCCACTGAGGCCATCGTTTCTGGCCTCCAGAACTGAAGAACCTCCTGAAGGGAATATCTGTCCTCACTCCTGGCCCCCGTATAGTCCGCCTCTCTAGAGTAGCCCACGTGGTCTTCCGAAAACGTCCATCAGATCAAGCCTTTGTTCCCACTCAGAACCCGCCAGTGGCTCCAACTGCACTTAACATTCAAAACCGCCACCATGCTATCCGCCAGGATTTCGCGCCGGCTTCTCTCTGACCCCCTGTAAATATAAGCCGACTCCCAGCTGACTTCTCTCATCTAAATTTAGTTCCCTCGCCACCCCCACTCTGCCCGCTCATTTATTTCCTTCACAGAACTATCACAATACATCTCACGTATTGTCTCTCTCCGAGCTCCGAGAGGACACAGTTCTTGTCTGTCTTGGGTCGCTTGTCTATTTACAGAGCCCAAGGAGGAGCTCAGCCGATGTTTGTCGAATGAATGAAAGTCCTCAGCTACTCTCCAGTCCTGAGTGGTGGAACGTGGAGGAGCTTCCAAAGTCGCCTGGAGCGCCCACTTCTCTCCCCAAATTCTCCCTTGGGCATTCGAGACGCATCACTCGGGCCTTCGCAGCACTATCTCCCCCACCCCAGCAGGGGTACCCTGATCACACCCCGCACCTTTCAGGGTCCCTTTTCCAACCTCCCACCCGAATTAACTAGTCCTAGATTGCCTTGAGGCCCCGCCCCTCTGAAGTCTCCACCCCCTGATTATGCCGATTAATCCCTGGAACTGCCTTCTCCCCCGGACCCAAAGCCGCCCAAAGACAACACCTCCCTCAGGCCCCGCCCCTCCAGACCCCGCCCTTCCCCGTTGGCTCCTCCCTAAGCCCCGCCCCACCTTAACCCCAAAAAGCCCCACCCCCCGCAAGGCCAGAGCCCTAAACACCTCCCCGCCCAACCTTCATAAGCCCCGCCCAGACCCCGCCCCCCCGCACTGCGACCTCCTCCCACTTCGAGCCCCCGCCCAGGCCCCTTCCTCGCCCGCACCAGGTCCGGTGGCTCCGGGAATCGCGACTCCCAGGTCGGTGAGCTCGGACTCGGAGTCTCCGGGCGCGCGGCGGCCATCTTGTACCCAAGCCCCGCCCCCGAGACCAATGGTCGCTCTGGGAGGGGGCGGGGCTCGGACAGGCGTAGGAACCACCGCGCAGGCGCACTGCCGGGCGGGGAGGGGGCGTGGCCCTCCCAGGGAGGCCGCACCCCGGAGAGAAATTGATAGATTCTCTTTTCTGACTGCTGGTCCACCGCCCGCGAGTACACGACCCTGTTGCGCCCTGGGGACACACCCGGACGTCCCTTTTACGCCTGCACAAGCCGACCGAGGCTCTGGAGCCCCCCCAGGACGGAAGCGCCTTTGTTTTGTCCCCACGTGAACATGTTGTGGTGGCTTCCTTCTCTGCACGGCTCGTGGGAACGCGACGACGCGAAGCTGATACAGGTGAGGTTTTAAGAAAGTCCGTGTTTGAAGGACGCTCGGAGAACAGCCACGCAGGGAGTCCCAGCGGGATGCCTGCCTCCGAAGGTTGGGGGCGTGTTGGGAGAAAGGAGGGCGAAGAGAGGAGGAGGCTTCGGCAGCACCAGGGACAGAGCTCGTCTCGGCTTCCCGGTCCCCGCGGCCTGTCGAGTCGCTCCGCCTCGCCGCACCGTCCGCCTCCACCCTGCGGAGAGCTGCAGGCGCGCAGTGGAAACCCACCGCGAAGAGCGGCGTGGGAGGCCTCGAAGCCCCCTTCCGTCGTCTTCTCGGAAGGGCAGGGTAGGGAAGGCCTGAGCGCCATCCCGGTCGTGCCCCATCGCCGTCCGAATCGTGGCCCTTGCACCCACAGACACGTAGTAAACGTTTATGTTATGACCACAGCGGTATGAAATAAGCACAGTCCGGACTGGGTTCGCTTCTAATTTTTTTTTTGAGTCGGAATCGCTCTCTGTTGCCCAGGCTGGAGGGCAGGGGCACGCTCACGGCCACTGCGGTGATCCTCCCGCCTCAGGCTCCGGAGTAGCTGAGACTACAGGCGCGTGCCACCACGCCCAGCTCATTTTTTGATTTATTGTAGAGATGAGGCCTCACCAAGTTACCCAGGCTGGTCTCGAACCTGCGGGCTCAGACAGTCCTCTCACCTCAGCCTCCCAAAGTGCTGGGATTATAGGCATGAGCCATCGCACCTGGCCTAGTTTCTAATGTTTTTTTAATTTTATTTAATTTTATTTTTTTTATTTTTATTTTTTGAGTTGGAGTCTCACTCTGTCGCCCAGACTGGAGTGCAGTGGCCGCTCCCGGCCACTGCAGCCTTGACCTGCTGGGCTCTGGCGATCCTTCAACCTCAGCCTTCCGAGTAGCTGGAACTACAGGCGCATGCTACCACGCCCGGCTAATTTTTTATTTATTGTAGAGATGAGGTCTCGCCAAGTTGCCCAGGTAGGTCTCGAACCCGCGGGCTCAGGCAATCCACTCACCTCAGCCTCCCAAAGGCGCGGGATTACAGGCTGAGCCACCAAGCCCAGCTTGATTTTAAAATAAAGTAAAATATTTCGTGGGTCCCTGAGAGTATCGTGGGCTCTCGGCACTGTGGGCACCTGCTGTATCTACTGTATTCTGTCCAGGTTTCCAGACTTGCAAAATGAAGATTACAATAAAGCCTACTTCGCGCAAGGGCTACGGTGATTAAAGAAGTAATTTTGTGTAAAGTGTTTTGGACAGTGCATGACACACAGGAGGTGAGATTTGTCAGTTATAATCATTCCTACCAATTTACACTCCCACCTGCCATGCATAACGTCCTCATCGGTAACTGATAGTTGAGCTTTACAATTTTTGCTTATCTTTTGGGTGAGAAATGGCTTCTCATTGGGAATCTGTTTTTTAATTTTTTGAGTCAAGGTCTCATTCTGTCACTCAGGATGGAGTGCAGCGGCACGATCATGGCTCACCACAGCCTCGACCTCCTGGGCTCAGATGATCCTCCCACCTCAGTCTCTTGAGTAGCTGGGACTACAGGCGTAAACCTCACACGCAGCTAATTTTTTATTTTTTGGTGGAAACAAGATTTTGCTATCTTGCTTAGGCTGATCTTGAACTGCTGGGCTCAAGCAATCCTCCCACCTGGGTCTCCCAAAGTCCTGGGAGAATGTTCTTATTAAATGAGGTCACTTATAGGACATAGAACTCGTCTTCTGGTCTCCCTCTTTTGAGAGCTAGAAATATTCATCTTTGCATCCCTATGGAGAAGGCATGTTGATGCCTCAGTGAAAGTGTGCTGGGTGCATGAGTGAGTGACTGAATTAAGGCAGATAGAAGAATTTGGTACCAGAGCTTAAGACAGTTAAATATTGAAGAGGAGAGGATTGTTCGGTGGAATGAACAGAAGCTTTTGAATAAGGCAAAGCAGGGTCCAGGTCTGCTCTGGGCAGGCAATGTCCCTCTCCGTGTCGAGTTGACATCTGCAAAGTGGGTGCCATGATGCCATCTGGCAGGGTTGTGGTGAAAGTATTCAACTAAAAATGGAGAGTGCTGAAGGTTTAGCACAAGGCCTGCGACCAACCAGTGCTCAAGAAATGTGGGCTTCAGCTGGGCGCTGTGGCTCACACCTGTCATCCCAACAGTCTGGGAGGCCGAGGCAGAAGGATTGCTTGAGCCCAGGAGTTTGAGGCCAGCCTGGACAACTTGGCAAGATCTCAGCTCTACCAAAAAAAAAAAATTAGCCGGGCATGGTAGCTCGTGCCTGTGATCGCAGCACTGTGGGAGGCTGAGGTAGGAGGATTGCTTGAGCCCAGGGGTTTGAGACCAGCATGGGCAACATAGCAAGACCTAGTCTCTACAAAAAAATCAAAAATTAACCAGACGTGGTGGCATGTGCCTGGAGTCCAAGCTACTTGTAAGGCTGAGGTGGGAGGATCGCCTGAGCCCAGAAGTTCAAGACCAGCCTGGGCAACATAGCGAGACCTCACCTCAATAAAAATTTTAAAAATTAGCCAGGTGTAGCGCATGTCTGGTATCCCAGCTACTCAGGAGATGTAGGCAAAAGGATCACCTGAACCCAGGAGGTCAAGGCTACAGTGAGATGTGAGCATGCCACTGCACTCCAGCCTGGGTGACAGAGGAAGACCCCGACTTAAAATAAATAAATAAAAGAATTGTGGATTCCTTGCCTGTTGTCTGTCTGCTTCTGATTCCTCTGTGCCTAGCATGGCACTGACAGTCTGTTGCATGCCCTGAGGGTAGAGGCCCAGCTACCTGGAGCAACCAGGAAGGAGATGAAGGAATCCTGGTCTTGGAATCAGGAGGTGTGGTAAATCTTGCTGCTTTCTGTCTCGACCTTGCTGTAAAACCTTGAGCCGGTCCCTTCTTCTCACTGGGCTTAGGTTTCCCGCCCTTTGAAATGAATTGTCTGATAGAGGGACCATATGACCCTGCAGTTCCACTCCTAGACATGTGCCCAAGAGAAACAACAAGATGCATTCACACAAAACCGCGCAAACACATATTTATAGCAGTATTATTCCTATGAGCCCAAAAGCCACCTGACAAATGGATTAACACAAGGTGGTATAACCATAGAATGAAATGTTGTTTGGCCTTAAAAAGTAAAAAGGCACTGCTACACGCAACAACACGGTTGAACCTTTAAAACATGACATTAACCGGGTGCAGTGGCTCATGACTGCCATCCCAGCACTTTGGGAGGCCGAGGCGAAAGCATTGCCTAAGCTCAGGCATTTGAGACCAGCCCGGGCAACTTGTTGAGACCTCATCTCTACAATGAATCAAAAACTAGTGCACGTCTAGTTCCGGCTACCTGGGAGGCTGAGGCAGAAGGATTGCCGGAGCCAAACAGGTTGACGCTGGGGTGACCGTGAGTATGCCACTGCACTCCAACTTGGCAAGATCTCAGCTCTACAAAAAATAAAAATAAATAAAAATAAATTTAAAAAAAATTAGCCAGGCATGGTGGCCCATGCCTGTGATCCCAGCACTGTGGAAGGCCGAGGTGGGAGGATCGCTTGAGCCCAGGAGTTTGAGACCAGCCTGGGCAACATAGCAAGACCTAGTCTCTACAAAAAAATCAAAAATTAACCAGACGTAGTGGCACATGCCTGAAGTCCCAGTTACTTGTAAGGCTGAGGTGGGAGGATCGACTCCAACTCGAAAACAAAACAAAACAAAAACATGACATTAGCTGGGCATGGTGTCTCATGCCTATAATCCCAATACTTTGGGAGGCCGAGGTGATGGGATTGCCTGAGCCCACAGATTTGAGACCAGCCTGGGCAACTTGGTGAGACCTCGTCTCTACAATAAATAAAAAATTAGC